TTGAGACCTGGGGGTGTTTTGTTGGAAGATTTACCTTCATTATAGATTTGAGGATTTATGAGCAAAAGAAACCAGAATATTACATTCAAATGCAGTTAAGAGAAAAGTTTAATGATTAATGTAGCAAAAAATTATAATGGTAAACTTAGCAAAGACTAAAGTGGGACAAAAGGGAAATATGTGCATATGTACATATATATATATATTCACCAAATTGGGGGGGATACCTACATCCTGATCAAGCAGTGCTGGGAAGCTCAGAAAACAACCATCTGGAGTCCCAGTTAGAATAATTCCTGGGTAGTACATCTACTCTATAGGAGAGACTTTAAGAAAGCAGCCAGGACTGGATGCAGTGGTTAGCGCCTACAATGAAGTCCAGATGGCAGGTGAATCATGAGGTCAGGAGTTTAAGACCAGCCTGGCCAAGATGGTGACACCCCATCTCTACCAAAAGTACCAAAATTAGCCAGGTGTGGTAGCGATTCCTGTAGTCTTGGGAGGCTGAGGCAGGTAACTGCTTGAACTCAAGAGGTGGAGGTTGCAGTGAGCCAAGATTGCACCATTGCATTCTACCCTGGGTGACAGATGGAGACTCTGCCTCAAAAAAAAAAAAAAAAAAGAAAAAAAGCCCTTGGAGGCTCCCAGCTTATATTATGAGGCCAGTAGCTGACACTGTCTGCTAGCATTCAAATATATGGCCTTCAAAGTTTTGTCAATAACGTTTAATCTTTTAGTTTGTGTCCCTCAGGATGTTCTGAAACCCAAAGAATTGGCCACATTCCAAAGTTTTGAGAAGTTCTATAGCACACATTCTTTCTTTTTTTCTTTTTTCTTTTCTTTTAAGATGGAGTCTCACTCTGTCTCCCAGGCTGGAGTGCAGTGGTACAGTCTCAGCTCCCTGTAACTTCTGCCTTTCAGGTTCAAAGGATTTTCCTACCTCAGCCTCTCAGGTAGTTGGGATTACAGGTGCCCACCACCATGCCTAGCTAATTTTTTGTATTTTTAGTAGCAATTGGGTTTCATGATGTTGGCCAGGCTAGTTTTGAACTCCTGACCTTGTGATCACCAACTGCACTCCAGCTGGGGCAACAAGATGAAACTTTGTCTCAAAAAAAAAAAAAATAAATAAATATGCCTGAGAATGGATAATTTATAAAGGAGAAAAAAAAAAAAGAAAAAGAAATACATAAAATCTTTCCTAATAATGTGGGAACTACCCTTCTAAGAATAAACTGTTCTAGCCATAAGAAATAGGACAAAATCAGAAACTAATAATTTTTTTTTAAATACTTTAATTGAAAGATTTTTTTTAAAGCCTACAGCAACCACTATTCCCAGGCAGTCTCCCATCCAAGTACTAAGCAGGCCCGATCGTGCTTAGCTTCCAAGATCAGACGGGATGGGGCGCGTTAAGGGTGGTATGGCAGTAGACAAAGGATTTTTAAAAGAAAAGAAAACAAAAAAAAAAATCTCCGGACAGGCAATTCACCAAGCAGAAAGAAAAACCAGCCTGGGAACTTGACTCCCATTCTATTTCCAAATGAGATAGCTATAAAAATTAAAAAAAGGTACATACGACCCTCACATTTTGTCTACACATACAAATATTCCTTGTGTACAAAACACAGAACTCACAGTTACCCCTTTTCTCACCTGAGACAAATGCATATCTGATTGTTTTCTTCACCCTGTTGTTTCACTAAGCCAGACTGAGGCAGAAGTGAGTATCCCTGTAAATTGCATACTCAGTGAAAGACTATTTAGAAACAAACAAACATAAAGGAAACCTTTGGATTCACATTACTAATTTAGGCAGACTTTTTTTTTTTTTTTTTTTTTTTTTTTGAGACAGTCTCGCTCTGTTGTCTAGGCTGGATTGCAGTGGCAGAATCGCGGCTCACTGCCACCTCAGCCTCCGGGTGCAAGCGGTCTCCTGCCTCAGCCCTCCAAGAAGCTAGGATTACAGGCGCGTGCCACCATACTTCGTTAATTTTTGGTATTTTTAGTAGAGACGTGTTACACATCAGCCTCCCAAATTACTGGAATTACTGGCGTGAGCCACCGCGCCCAGCCTAAAATTCTTAACATAGAAACAAACAAAAGAACTCCTTAAACTGAGAAAAATTAATAAAAGTGTGCTTAAATTTACAGACGGAATTATGGGTGAATCTAATTAGATTCTATTCTTTTTAACTAAATAAAAAACAAGACATAATTGTGAAGGAGCCCTTACCTTTGGGAAATCAAAAAGCCACTTTTGACCAGTTGTTTCTCACAGATACACACCCCAGTCCCAGGCCACCTGCCGGGACGGCGGGTCCCAGTGCCTGGAGGGCGGGGTCCCTGCGGTCTGGGGTTGGGTTTGGGCTCAGACTCGCGCAGTGGCCTTGGGTCGTTCCCGCCCTACCAGGCCCCCCAGTCAGAGGGACCCCGCGGGAGTGGAGCAGGCCGGCAGAGAGCCACCAAGGGTGCCTATGGAGCAGGTGTCCGAGGCTCAGATTCGGAGCCATCCCTGCTGTAAGGCAGGCTGGGCCAGGCTTCCCGCTTTGGGAAATTTGCCCCTGTTGTCCCTGCCAGTGGTCGTCGTAAGAGCTCCTGCCTTGGAGCCCTGGCCACGGAGCCCCGAGGCTTGCGGGAGAGCAGCGAGTGGGGAGGGAGCAGCGGGAGGAGGAGGGGTGGCCCTGCAGGCAACGAGGGAACTGGAAAGGGCGCCTGGATGGAAAAAGGCGCTGGCGGGTGACGTTCCCAACCGCGCCAGCCGGCTGTCCCTGCTTCAACCCCTCCCCGAAATTCACGGCAAGGACGGGCGCACTGGTGTGTGGCACGTGGAGCCGCAGGGTCCCCAATTAAATGCAAGGGCCCACAGGGAGTCGGGACTTGGAACGTCCACAGTCCCAGCCCCAGACCCCAAATCCCGGCCAGATTCGCCAAATTCAGAGGCTGGAGTCTGTAGAGCGGATATGAGGACGTCAGCTGAGCCCAGCCTCTACACGGCCATGGCCAGTCTAACGCAGTGACACTCTCCAGAGCCCCTGATGCCCCCACCCTGCTGTCAGGCTCGCTGGGCTAAGGGATTTATCTACCCCTAGTGTGCGCACCCAGCTCCAGGCAGAGGGTGTAGGTGTGGAGCTGCTGGTCGTCATGGTCCCCGGAGATGAGGAGGGTCTTTCCCCCAGGGAACAGGCCACTCAAAGCTTGTGGAAGGGAAGCACAGACACCACCATCCCATGCCTGGTAGCCACACAGGGGGAGGCCATCACCTAAAGAGCTGGGGGTGGGGAGTGGTTTGAGTTTGAGGGAGGGCTGGTGACCCCAGGTCCTGAGCTATTGACAAGTGAATGAGCTGGGAATGTATGGAAATGAAGCCTCTTCGCGACTGGAGGGAGGGAAAAGGGTTGGAGGGCGGAGAATGCCCGGACCTCTGAGGCTCCAGGTTGCCAATGTCCCTTCCGGGCTCTCAGTGCTTGTTTCCTCCTCCAACCTCAGTTTCTCACCTGTCCCAGAGGATGAATATGGCAGGGCTGTTTTGATGATTAGGCCAGATAATTCTGGTAAGCGTTTATTAGCTTGCCTGGTCTGAATATTATTTTTTCTGACTTTGTTAAGAAACTTAGCTGCTTGTATCCGAGTCACCGCACAAAGAAATTTAAAAAAAAGAAAGAAAGAAATTTTGCTGCCCAATATCTACTCTTGGAAAGTGAGCTGAGGAGAAAGGAACTTAGGACTCTTAACCTTGGCTTCAGAGTCCCTTCCGAGTGGCCCCTCTCCTTAGGCTCAATGAAAGCACAGAGCTGGCAAAAGTCCCCTCCCCAAAACAGCTACAGAGTCCAGAACCAGAAGATGTTGTTTTCTGAACTAACGGTCTTTTTGTGCCATAGCTGACCCAGAGTTAGAACCTAAGCAACACCATCTTAAACCCTGTACCCTGCAAGCACCAAGAAAAACGGTTTTTCCAAAAATAAGTTGTAACTGCTACCCCGTTTCCTTTGTGATAACTGCTTGCTGCCCCGTTTTCCTTGCGACTGCTGTACCAGAGAAAGCACAGTAAGTCAACACCAAACAAAAGTACGCCAAATTGCAGGGTCTTTATTGCCAGTGGCCACGGAGGATTCTTGTCTCTCTAATCCATGGCCCAGAAAGGAGGGTGTTAAGACCTTTTATGCCCGTAAACCACCTCCTGGGCGGGGGTGAGGGTGAGGGACTTCAGACATTCCGATTGTTGCTTAAGTGGTTCACAGAAGTCAAGATAAGCATTAGTTTACACATTGCCTGGGTAGAGTGGAAATTACAGACCTTAGTTACTTATTACAAGTCACAGGGGCCAAGATGGTGTGGGTTTGGACTGCTTGCCTTTCACATCAGGGTTAGAGAGCAGTTTCAACAGAAAGCCAGGTATGGTTGAGGTATGTAGTTTTATGGGGCTTTTACCATGTCACACAGTAACTGCTGACCTTAGCTTCTGTGAAAAATAGCTAGCTTGCTCGGCATAATGCTGATTGCCAAAAAAAGAACCCTGTGCCCCACCAGGATGTGGGTTTTCTGCTTAAAACCCTTGCTTTTCCTGAGCTCGGGGCCATGGGTTGGAGAGACACTAGTCCTCCGTGGTCGCGGGCGAAAAATTATCCTCTGAATTGGCTTACTTTGGTCTCAGTGGTGATTCGGTACTCGCTCGGTTACAACAAAAAAACAAGCCAAGAAGGTTATAAAAACTGTGATTTATAAAATAATTTTTATTCTATTTTTTAATATGTGACCAGCCATATAGTATATAATTTACAAATACACGCGACCTTATGAACAAGGCTAAAGGCAAACACCCTCTGGGGTGGACCCGGCTCAGCTCAGGGAGGAAGTCCTGCCTGAAAAGGCTGCACCGTCAGCTGTCACTCTTTCTTCAATCAGCCAGTATTTGGTCATGTCTTCTGTCACTCAGGTCTTGGGTCTTAAACCTTATCCAATAAGCGACGCTGCCCTGAGAAGCGTCCAATCAGGCACGCAGCTGGGGCGGAAAAGGTGGATTCTGAGGTGTGTCGGTGGCTTTGTGTCTTGCTGCAGCTGGAGTTTTGGGTCTCGTCTTTGCTGCCCTGTGTCCTCTGCTACTATAGGTCCAGCCTCTGTGGCCTTGTGATGTGCTGGTACTGGAGATCCACAGCGGAGATGCCAGGACCCCCTGGAAGCCTAAAAATGGTGTGAGTGCCGGGTCCGACCTCAGGGAAGGGGTTTGTTTGAACCGGTGGAAAATGGTCGTGGCGCTCAGGCCTTCCCTGACCAGGCACAGTCAGCTCTAAAATCTGTGCCTGGAGTTCTTGCCCAGCTCGGCCTCAGTCCCCTTTAGCAATAAAATGGTGGCTGCGCAGCGACTGTACCTGGAGCCCTCTCTGGGCAGCTCTGCACCCGCAGCGCCCTGTCTCTTCCATATTGTCCCTCCCAGGGATCACGGGAGGGTTGTCAAGGGAGAATCCTGACTCGGGGTGGGGGTCATAAATGAGAAGCCCTTTGGTTTGGTTTATGGGGTTGTCAAGTTTCTTTTCTCCTATTAAAAATTGATGGGAGTTATTGCAGAAATGTTTTTTATGACTGGGTGATTTCAAGCAGAATTTCAAGGCTTCCTTTTTAAAATGCTACCAAGGAAAACAATAGGGAAAATCTCTCCTGCATTTTGGCTGTAGAAAATGAATACACTGCCGGCCAGGCACTGTAGCTCAAGCCAGTTGTTGTACTGGAGCGAGCACACAGAAAGTCAACACCAAGACAAAAGTATGCCAAATTGCAGGGTCTTTATTGCCGGTGGGCCATGGAGGACTCACGTCTCTCCAACCCATGGCCTTGAACTCAGGGGGAGCAGGGTTTTTAAGCTGAAAAACTGCATCCTGGTTTTAGAACCAAGAGGGTGAGGGGATGCAGTGCAGGCAATTTTACAGAAGCGATATCTGGCAGTTTGTGATAAGCAAAGGCAAGCAGCTTTACACAGTGGGCTTCCTGGAATTTGGGGAAATTCTAAGTAGTCCCTGGTGGAGAGCTGCAAGTCAAACATTTCAATAAAAAATTTTTTCTTCTCTTTCTTTTTAATCAGGATTTTCAGAGCAAGCTGGCTGTTTTTATTTACAGAAGACAAAATCAGCAGTTACCACAGGGAAAATGGGGCAGCAAGCAGTTATCACAAAGAAAACAGGGCAGCAGTTCCAACTTATTTTTGGATAAACTATTTTTCTTGGTGCTTGCAGGGTGCAGGGTTTAAGATAGTATTGCTTAGGTTCTAACTCTGGGTTACCTATGGCACACAGTAATCCTAGCACTTTGAGAGGCCAAGGCCAGTGCATCATCTGATGTTGGGAGTTCGAGACCAGCCTGACCAATGTGACGAAATGCCGTCTCTACTAAAAATACAAAATTTAACCAGGTGTGGTCATAGGAGTCTAGAATCCAACCTATTGGGGTGGCTGAGGCAGGAGAATTGCTTGAACCCAGGGGGTGGAGGTTGCATTGAGCCCGAGGTTTTGTGACTTCAATCCAGCTTGGATGAAAGCAGTACTCCCCCAAAAAAGAAAAAAAGAAAATTTTTTTACAAGAAAATGTGGTAGACAACTAGTTGGTGAGTTGTGTTGAGTCATAAAAATAGCTTTCTTTTTTTGCAGAGTTAATTTGTGACAGTAAATATCTCTGTTCTATATCCTTTTATCTTGACTTCTGAGTTTCATGCTAAGTTTTATGAGATAAAACTTGGTACCTCCTAGAAATGTTTCCATATGACTAATTGTTTACTACATGATTTTTAATGGAAAAAATTATAATAAGACATATACTCTCTGAAAGGAATAGATACTTTTGTTTTTCTCATTGAGGTGTAAAATGTTAGCACCTTGTAATTTTATCTTTTTAGATGAACATTTTGTTTGAGTAATGTTGCTGAATTTTTCACATAGGTAGTTCAAAAACCAAGTCACACAACTGTGGCATGGAAATCAAAGCTTGAGCCTAGTGCCTCCAAGCTAAGGCCAATATTGAACCTCCAAAAGAAGGTTATTAACAGCCCAATTGTTTTCTGAAGAGCCTCCCTGGCATGTGTCTCAGCCTACTCACCCCAGTCATGGAAGACTCTTCTATAGTGAGAGAAGCTACAGGGCCCTGGAAAGCTGGAGACCCACAGGCTAATGCAGTTAAGATTAAGAAGAAAAAGAACTGGTAGAATTTTTGTGAAGATGAAGTTGTTATTGTTTTGAAGCAGTTTCTAGAGTGCTTAAAATAAAACAAAGCTAGATTATGTAAAAAAATTAAATTCCAGGTTGGGCACAGTGGCTATGCCTATAATCTCAGCACTTAGGGAAGTAGTGGGTGAATTACAAGGTCAGGAGATCAAGACCATTCTGACCAACACTGTAAAATCCCATCTCTAAAAAAAAATAATGTTTAAATTAAATTCTAGCTGGGAGGGGTGGCTCACGCTTGTCATCACAGTACTTTAGGAGACTGAGGCATGTGGATCACAAGGTCAGGAGTTCAAGGCCAGCCTGGCCAACACAGTGAAACCCCAGCTCTACTAAAAATTTAAAAAATTAGCTGGGTGTCGTGGTATAGGCCTGTGCTTTCAGCTATTCAGGAAGCTGAGGAAGGAGAATTGCTTGTACCTTGAAGGCAGAGGTTGCAGTGAGCCAAGAACACTATTGCATTCTAGCCTGGGTAACAGAGTGAGACTTCATTAAATATATAAACAAATAAATTCCAAAGGAGTATTGCAACAGAATAGAATATCTGATATAAGATCTGAAAACATTGCAAAGTTTGGGCAGACAAGGGCTTTTCTTTATCGAAAGGAACAAATAAGATCGCAAAGAAAGTAGAAGGTAAATAGCAAATGAAAAGTGAAAAGATCAGATTCTACATTAATGTTTTACCCTGAAGTCAGCATGTTTTTAGGAAGGACATAACATGTTGTATTTTAACTCAAATAGAGTGTGGCTGAATGTTCAGGAGTCTGTGGGCTGGAAATCAATAAAACTGAAGTTTGATTAAAAAGTATTTTCTTTTGACCACTGAAGAAAAATTCAGCTGATTTTTTAAAATGAGAACAAAAGGAAAATGTGCAGAGTCTGTGTCTGGCTATGTGATAGATAAGAAAAAGAACACCAGTTAAGTCATAGAGGAAAGCATGTTTTTTTCCACAAACTGTTTCTGGAGAACACAAAAGGATAGAGAATTTTATTAATCACAGCTGTTTATCAGGATTATCTATGTGCTTTGTCTTTCTCCATTTATTCTTAGTCCTATTTCTCTCCTCCCCTCCCCTCCTCTCTCTCCTTTTCCCCTCCCCTTTCCCTCTCCTTCCCCTCTCCTTTCTCTCCCCTTCCCCTCTTCTTTTCCTTGAGAAAGAGTTTCACTTTTGTTGCCCAGGCTGGAGTCATGGCATTTGTTTGGCTCACCACAACCACTCCCTCGAAGATTTAAGTGAATCTTCTACTTCAGCTTCCTGAGTAACTGGGAATACAGGCATGCGCCACCATGCCTGGCTAATTTTTTGTATTTTTAGTAGGGACAGGGTTTCTTCATTTTGGTCAGGCTGGTCTCAAACTCCTGATCTCAGGTGATTCACCAACCTTTGCCACCCGAAGTGCTGAGATTACAGGCGTGAGGCTCCATACCTGGTCACGTTTTCTACATTTGACTTCTTCTGAGTTGTATTTTTCATAATAAGCTGGTAAATGTAGCTACAGTGTTTTGCTGAGTTGCATGAATAGCTCTATCAAATTATGAAACTTGAGAGAGGTTACAGGAGTCCACAATTTTTTTTTTTTTTTTTTTGAGACGGAGTTTTGCGCTTGTTACCCAGGCTGGAGTGCAATGGCGCAATCTCGACTCACCGCAACCTCCACCTCCTGGGTTCAGGCAATTCTCCTGCCTCAGCCTCCTGAGTAGCTGGGATTACAGGCACGCGCCACCATGCCCAGCTAATTTTTTGTATATTTTTTAGTAGAGACGGGGTTTCACCATGTTGACCAGGATGGTCTCGATCTCTTGACCTTGTGATCCACCCGTCTCGGCCTCCCAAAGTGCTGGGATTACAGGCTTGAGCCACCATGCCCGGCCTGGAATAATTGATATTTTACTGGGTATATGCCCAATTATGCGGTTGCTAAGTCACAAGGTAATTCTCTTTTTAGTTCTGTATGGAATGGTTACATTGCTTTTCACAATAATGGAACTAATTTACTCTCTGACTGGCAGTGTATAACCATTCCCGTTTCTCTGTAACCTTGCCAGTATCTGCTGTCTTTTGACTTTCTAAAACTAGCCATTCTCACTGGTGTGAGATGATATTTTATTGTGTGTTTTTTTAAACTTCTCTAATCATTAGTAATAAACATTTTTTATATGCTTGTTAGCCACATGTATGTCTTCTTTTAAAAAACAACTTTTCCTGTTTTTTAACTACTTTCTATTGAGGTCTTTTTTCTCTATTAACTTTCTTATAAATTATGGGTACTGGACCTTTGTCAAGAGCATAGCTTGCAAATGTTTTGTTCTGTGTGTTGTTTGTCTACTATGCTGATGGTCTCCTTGGGTGTAAAGGAGCTTTTTAGCTTAATCAGTTTCCATTTGTCAATTGTTGTTTTTGTTGCAATTGCTTTTGGCATCTTTGTTTTAAAATTTTAACCATTTTCTATGTTTACAATGATATTTCCTAAATTATCTCACAGGATTTTTTTCTTTTTTAATTTGAAGTTTTTCATTTAAAATTTTAATTTATCTTGAGTCTTGTATATGGTTTAATGAAAGTGTCCAGTTTCAATCCTCTACATAGTGCTAGCTAGTTATTCCAGCACCGTTTATTAAATAGGGAATTCTTCCCAGATTCCTTCTGTTAGCTTTGACAAAGACCGGATGGTTGTAGGTATGTGGTATTATGTCTGGGCTCTCTATTCTGTTGCATTGGTGTATGAGTTTGCTTTTGTACCAGTACCATTTTGCTTTCTTTAATGTAGCCTGTAGTACAGTGTGAATTTAGGTAACGTCATGACTTAAGCTTTGTTCATTTATTTTTATGATTGCCTTGGCTATTTGGGCTCTTTTTTGTTTCCATATAAATTTATAAGTTTTTTTTTTTTTAGTTCCGTTAAAAAATATTTTCGGAAATTTAATAAAAATAGCATTAAATCTGTAATTTTCTTTACAGTGTTAACATTTTAATAATA